GCAGATCACTAGGTCAGTAGTTCGAGACCAGCCTGACCAATATGGAGAAATCCCATCTCTACTAAAAATATAAAATTAACTGGGCATGGTGACAGATGCCTGTAGTCCCAGCTACTCGGGAGGCTGAGTTAGGAAATCACGTGAACCTGGGAGGTGGAGGTTGCAGTGAGCCAAGATCTCACCATTGAACTCCAGCCTGGGCAACAGGAGCAAAACTCGGTCTCAAAAAGGAAAAAAAAAAGCTGGGCATGACGACACGTGCTACTTGGGAGGTGGAAGGGGGAACACGGGTCCCAGCTACTTCAGAGGTGGGAGGATGGCTTGAGCCTGGGAGGCAGAGGTTGCAGCAGTGAGATCACAGCACTGCACTCCAGCCCAGGCGACAGAGTGAGGCTCTGTCTCAAAAAAAAAGGCAGGCACAGCGGCTAATGCCTGTAATCCCAGAACTTTGGGAGGCTGACGGTGGATTGCCTGAGGTTGGGAGCTCGAGACCAGCCTGGCCAGCATGGTCTAACCCCGTTTCTACTAATAATACAAAAATTAGCCAAGCATGATGGTAAGCACCTGTAATAGCAGCTACTTGGGAAATTGAGGCAGGAGGCTTGCTTGAACCCAGGAGGTGGAGGCTGTAGGGAGCCGAGATCATGCTTTTGCACTCCAGCCTGGGCAACAGAGTGAGACTCCGTCTCAAGAACTTTTTTTTTTGCATTAGATCCTAAGCATAGCCCCCACATAGCAGGAACTGTCATCTCCATTTTACAGAAAATGGAGGCACAGCGCAGAGAGGTTAAGTTAATTGCCCCAGGTCACACAGCTGTAAGTGGCTGAGTTGGATTCCAGCCCAGGTCTGTCTGCTCTGGGGTCAGCATGCCTAACCCTTCTCTTCAGTGGAAATTTCCTCTCCCACTGTGTATGGGAGGGCGGGTGTTGCAGATTACCCTGCCGGCTCTTTTTAGCTCTGAGATGTTGGGGGCCTATGAGGCTAACATCCTGTAAATAGGATTTTCCAATCTTGGGTTTGCTTAACACCAAAAACATCTGAGACATCAGCTGTGCTTGCAATCGTGGGGTGATGGTTCCAACACGTGCCGGCTGTCAGAGAATGGGACTGCGTCTGTACCTGAGTTTGAGGCACAGGGTCATCTGTGTGTGAGCATATTTTTAAGACTGTTTTGTGGGGTTTACAGAAGAATCTGGATTTGTGAGTCTTATTTGTTGCTATTCCCCATATCCCCTGTCGTGGGCCAGGCCCTGTCCTGAAGACTCGGTAGCAACCCATGACAGCTCCAGCCCCACCCACTCCCAGAGGGGATGGCTGGCCCAGCCTGGGGGTCAGGGAGGGCTTCTTGGAGATGTCAGTGTGGAGACCTGGAAGATGGAGCTTGAGCGGTGAGCTTTCTTCTAAAGGCCTTAGGGAGCTATGGCAGGCTCAGAGCAGGGGAGGGTGGGGCAGGTTGAACCATTAGAAAGACACAGATGGGGCCGGGTGCAGTGGCTCACACCTGTAATCCCAGCACTTTGTGAAGCTGAGGTCAGGAGTTCGAGACCAGCCTGGCCAACATGGTGAAACCCCATCTCTACTGAAAATACAAAGATTAGCCGGGCATGGTGGTATGCGTCTGTAATCCTGACTACTGGGGAGTCTGAGGCAGAAGAATCACTTGAACCCAGGAGGTGGAAGTTGCAGTGAGCCGAGATCGTGCCACTGCACTCCAGCCTGGGCAACAGAGTGAGATTTGGTCTCAAAAAAAAAAAAAAAAAAAAGGTCACAAGTGGATCTA